AAAACAACCGGAGGTAATGCTAGGTGTGCTGGTAAGAGCAGGCACCACTAGCATTCTCGGGGGGGCTCCATCTATTGGTGGGGAGCAGCACCTGCCGGAACCGGGCCCAGCGTCCCTTTGTTCATACAAAATGGGTTGCATGGTTGCCTTTATCGTCCACTGTACTGCGTATCTGATGAGGCTGAGTCTGTATAACCCCTGAACTAGAGATCAATCCCCTGTTACTGAAAAATCGAGCCCCTCAGTCACCTGCTTCCAGTCCTATATAACACTTGTTTACTGCAGGTAAACTACTCCTGTCACTGGTTGTCTTACGTATCGTATACTACCCCTCTATGCTGTTTCCTGTATGTACTCTATACCCCAGAATGGTCTATTTACAGCAATAGCAGGTGCCTTTTGCCATTGATTGTCCATTGATTGTCCACTGATTGTCTTTCAATTGCAGTCTTGTACCATACAGTCCGCCAGAGTTGCGTCAGTAGCCATGTTGTCCAGGGCCTTGTAGCCTCAGGCTCTTCACTTGCCACGGAGAGAGTTTCAGCCATTCATCCATCTATCAGACTGAACAGGTTGAATTTCTCCTGTGGCAAGTAAAGAGGGACAGGGCATGGGTGTGATCTGCTAGAAGGGCGCTGGGTGTATGTCAGGGCGATGTTGGGGGATGAGGAGCTCGCCATCGCTACCGTATACGGTCCCAACGATCCACTGGACAGAGTACACTTCCTCCACACTCTTCATCAACAATTGCCTATGGACCTGCCCTCATTTTAGCAGGAGATTACAATATAACCCCCGACCCGATGCTCGACAGAAAATCTTCCACTAACAACCAAAGTCAGGGACAAGCCCACGACCGCTGGACCCCGGATGTGGACATGCTTACACGCTTTATGGCGACGCTGAAACTAAAGGATGCGTATAGAATCCTGCACCCCACCAAACGCGCATACACTTGCGTCAGATCGAAAGGGACAACAGACACATCCAATTCCAGAATTGACTTTTTTCTKATTTCCRAGGAACTTATAGGAACTCTACTGGTAGCGGACATTATGCCATTTAGTGCCTGCAAGTCCTTCGATCATCGAGGGATCGTTATGGGCCTCTCATTTCATAGTCAAATTCAGAGAGGTCCGAGTTTCTATAAGTTCAATATCTCGTTGTTGAAACTCCCCGCCCTTAAAGATCTGGTCAAAGAATATTGGGAGTACTGGGTATCGAACCTGGAACAAGTTGTCTCCAAAGTGGAATGGTTCAATGAAGGAGTGGCCCACTTGAGGGACAGAGTAAAGAAGTTCTCGATTGCTTATGCTCGAGAACGCAAGGCAATATTAGACAAACTGCTAAACAAATTGGAAGCCTGGGACCACAAACTACAAACTGACCCGTTGAACGACACAGTCTATAATGAGTTACAAGCAGCGAGGGATCATTTGCAGTCCTACCTTGACACACAGGCTGAAGCATGGCGCATTCATGCACGAATACGCCGACAAGACACGGAGGGAACAATGGCAAAATCATTTTTTAGGAAAGCTCAAGCCAGAGCAAGACAGACAACTGTTTCCTCGCTGCGCCACCCCTTTGATCACTCTTTGCCGGTGGCAAATAATGCATACGCGATCGTGGATTATGCCACCCAATTCTACTGAAAATTGTATACCTCGGAGTCGATGCAATGGGGGGAACAACATCTAGCCGAAGCCCGGGAAACAATGCTCCGACATCTCCCAGCAATGCTTTCGTCAACCCAACGTCAGCAGCTGGAACAACCTCTATCTACAGATGAGATTCTGGAAGCCTTGAAGGGGATGGATGATGAAAAAGCACCAGGCCTCGACTCTTTTCCAAAAGAATTTTGGTTGAAATATTGGGAAATATTCCAGAATAGCATCACATCCTACGTACATGCAGTGCAGAGGGAAGGGACATTTGGGGGACTGATTAGCCAAGGAGTCACCACACTCCTATACAAGAAAGGGGACAAAGCAGACGTCAGAAACTACCGCCCGATTACCCTTCTCCCCCTCCCATACAAAATGGTGTCTAAGGCCCTCACTAACAGACTCCTTCCACATATGAACCACCTGGTTTTCCAAGATCAGACTGGATTCATGCCACAAAGGAACATCCATGATAATGTTCTATTAGTGAATGAGACCATCAAGTACGCCAGACAACACAGTAAGGAAGTTGCGGTTATCTTCATAGACTTTGAGAAGGCCTATGACCACGTGGACTGGGCCTTCCTGGATTGCTGTCTAGATAAAATGAATTTTGGAGAGGGATTCCGGTCGTGGGTATCCATCATGCACAGGTCCGCTGCCACAAATGTTATGGTTAATGGCCACTTGTCCCCTCCATTCGCTCTACAACGATCGGTTAGGCAAGGAGACCCTGTTGCTCCCCTCCTCTTCGTACTTGTAATGGAGGCATTGGCAGCAATGATCAGAGCTAACCCACATATACAGCGTATAGACATCCCGGAGCTGCCCCCACATATGGTGTCGGTAACCTCCCTATTTGCCGATGACCTCTCAATACTCATTCGAGCTACAACCGCTTTTATTCAAGCTCTAACAGAAACTATTCAAATTTTCGCAGTTGCAGCAGACATGAAGGTGAACTGGGGGATGAAGACTGAAGGCTGGTGGTTGTCCTCACAAGACACCCACCCGCCGCAGCAACCACCAATCAATTGGCGCCCAAAGGAAGAAGCTATTCGAATACTTGGGATTCGTCTGACGGCCATGGACCCTCCCTCAGATCATGGGCAGACTCTGGTCCAAACAACACTCCAAAGATTGGCCACATGGGATGGCCTCCACACTTCACTGGTAGGAAGGGCGCTTGCGATAAACAATGTCATCCTCGCCACAATTTGGTATAAAATGGCCTTCTGGGAAATCCCGAAAAAACAGCTTAAACAGCTGCGAGCAACACTGTCAGCCTACCTGTGGAGAAATGATCACAAATTGACGAGATGTTTAAAAAGGGTGAGCTGGAAGTATGTATCTCAACCGAAGAGAGTGGGTGGATTGGGCATTTTAGATCCGGGTGATGAAATTAAAGCCCTCCTGTTTAAAGTCATCACCCGCCTACTTCTTGCAAACGACATCCCATGGCTCACACTGGCATATATACAACTGGCGAATTTGGCCCCTCCCTCCCACTATGACACTCCGGTCCACCCCCTCATGTGGTTCACAAACACAGCATGGTCCATCCCGAATCCCCCACGCCAGAAAAGGGACGGAACGACTAGAAACAGGGTGAGATGGGACCTCAAACAGGACCCTATGTGAATCACAATGCTGAATCTCTGGATGCAGATGGGGCCATCCAAAAAGGCGCCGCCGTTGAGATGGCAAGAGATATGGTGGCAACCTCTGTTTGGAAACCCGCACATCTGCGATGAAACCAAATTTCCCCTCTCTCTGCAGACCGGCTCACACTGGCTTACATGGGTGAAAAATGGCCTTTTCGTAGTGGGGGATCTTTGGGACAGTCAAAGAGGCACCTGGAAGACGGTAGAACAGTTGCGACTAAAGCCAAAACATATAAAGAAAATTCAGGAGAAGTTGGGCCTCATACACTACGCAGTTCCGCCCGCTTGGGTGGCGGCCCTGGAGGATGGACCAACAGTGCGCTGCCAAGACTGGGTTATAAGGATTACCGATAATCCGATCCCTATGACCATCTTCAGAGTTGGCCACARCACCGRCCAWGGA